TCGTGAGGACGTATCCAAGCCCAACGGTAGACCAAGCGGAGAAGAGAGCTTGGTTGGACAGCACTCGTGAGAGCATCGATTCATAGAAAAGGAACGAGCGGAATGGTAATTCATGTATCATGCGTAATGGCTGGGATGACTTTCTGTAGGGATATGAGTTGAGATATCAGATACCATTAATGCTTTTCCCCAACCTCACCAACACAATCAAAATCAGAGATCTTCTGCAAACAATATCATCCTGTCACCTTCGACCAACTCTCGCTTGCGTTCTACAACCTTGTCACAGGAGCATTTCATTGCAGTGAACTTTTCGGACTGATATCACAAGCCGCCCTGAGGACCGGTCCGGTACAGCCCCCGCTCCCGCGCAGGTCGGTCGGCTGGTCAAGCGTCTCTTGCGAGTCTCCGTAGTCGGTGTAGTTCGCCTCTTCGGAGTGCGTCTCGGCGCCTTCCGGGATGGGCACCATGGCGTTCTTGGTCCAGATGTGCACCGCCGTCTTCCAGTCGAGGCCGTCGATGCAGCCGCCCTTGACCGAGACGACGTTCTTATCCTATGTCTAACATGAGTTGCGGGTTCATTTGTCAGCAGCAAGGCCGAAGGGACATACCGGTGTGCTGTGAATCAACCTCGTCCCACAGTTGCGGCAAAAGTAGCTGATGAGTCACGTTATTACATGAGAACGGGCATGGCGGCTTGCTATCAGACTCACCAGTGAAGTGTCACGCCTGATGCAGTCGGCCTCCTGTCTCTAAAGTCAGCATATCATCCTGCTTTCTTTGCAGCCAGCTTAATCATCTTTCATTCTCTCACCTCACCCCTAGTCCACTCCCCTACACCCTCATCTGTTCACTTCTCCCCACATGCAGCCGCCACCACCCACGGGTTTTGAAAACTCACGCGTAGACGCCCAGTAAATCCATGGCAGGGAGCTGGAACCTGGGGAAGATCGCCGACGTCCCGAAAGCGGAGCCCGTCTGGCGCTTGCACTCATCGCAATGGCAGATGTACAGCCGCAGCGGCTGAGGCAGCGGCGTCTTAAACGTGACCGCGCCGCATTGGCATCGCGCGTCCATCTTGTTCCACTGGGTCGGGAGAGAACCGTTAAAATATGACGTCAGAACAAAGGAAGCTTCGTGGGGTCTCGTCGTTGGCTCCGCGCGTGTGACTTCGCGGGGTTGATGAGTGAGAGTGGGTGTGTGTGGTGTGTTATCGAGATAAGCTCCGAGCTTCGTTACCCCGGACCGCGCCGCAATTGACGTGATTTCTCTCCTCCAATTGGGGAAAGATAAATAGTGTTGGAAGGATTGTGAGATGAAGGATTTTGCGAAGTCTCCTTAGGTGTCAAACAATGTTCCCGATTTCCTCAGGACGATGAAAGTTGAGAAGTCAGCAAGACAAAGGGAAGGACGTTACTGCGGGCGCGGGATCATCCCGCCCTTTTTAAGCCAATGACTCCTTCCCCCAAACCACATGACACACACTCGATCGACCGTTTTTCCCAAGTGACGCGCCAGTGCCGACGACAACGTCAGCCCCTGGCATATCAACTTTTAATTTCTCACTCAAGGATCGAAAGAAAAACAGTGATATCTCGCGTTCGGGATGCGCTACTGCGTGTCTGCGGCTGATTACGGCCCCTGGTTAGTGGTTACATAGCCCGTGAGTCACGACCGGCGCGGTGCGGGGCAGGCTAGAGGGTGAGACGGGGGCCGGTTTTGGGGGGTGGAGGACCACACCGCTTGGGAGCGAGACTGGCGCGAAGTCACATGGCTTGCGCCAGGGGTCCTTTTGGGCTGTCGAGGTTGGTAAACGGACAAAAAGGATTCGTTGCGGTTTAGTGCAGAGTTAAGGCGGATGGATGGGATGTTGTGGGGGGTTTGGGTGGGCTCAAATTGTCGATAGCCTCACTGCATGGATTAGTCACAACTTCACCCCGCTGTCCTGCTTGCAACTTCATTTGAGAAGCATTTCCTTCGAAAAGAGCTGTTGCTGGCAAGTAACACGAGATTAGGTCTGCTCGAAAATCCATGGGCATTGGCTGATGGTCAATGAGTAAGATAAGTGACCAGCAACACAGACCGAAAGATTACCGGATGCTTGACATGAAATATGCACAAACTTGCTATCAAGAACCCTGCGCCCCCCCCCCCTCCAACCAAAAAAAAACAAATCTTTTTTTATCAAGGAAATGAAAATGACCTGCTGAAAGCTGAGCGAAACACAGCAAGTAACCGAATCGTGAGTTCCACACACGATGGCATTCGGAGGATTGGGAAAGAGAAGGACAAACGGCAGTATCATCAGAACATTTGATGCATTGGATAACGGCTTCGTCATTTATACGACAGCTGATGAGAATACTGTGGCTTCAATCATGCCATTCTTGGGTGGTCACACTCTGAATCAAATAGAAGCTTTTGAACCAGGATGTCCACTTAAATACCCCCTTCTACCTCACAATCTTGCTCAACACAATCCCAATAGTCTCCGACGGGTTCTTTAGGTCTAGATACCTGGATTTGGCAGATATGAAGGTCCTAGGGCTCGAGGCGATGTTTCTAGATGTTTCAATGTAAGGTCTCCGTAATGTGAGCCGTCACTTCCGTCTGCGTCGTATTCATGGCGTGTATTATCTCGAGAGCCCTTGAGAGCGTTTTCATGACAGATGAAGAGCACAGAACATACCTTGGGACACTGAGTGTTTTGACACGATTAGAGGGCATGATTCTCCTTTAAGAAAAAGAATAGGATCAGACATAGCACATGCGATGTCTTGTTGTGCTGCTAAGAGTGTTGTGCTGCGAAGAGACTTCCCGTGGGCAGAGTCTTATATACCAACCTTGGCCCACAAGCACAGGAGCTGCGACTTGAGTCTCTTTCGGCATATTGCAGCATAATGATTTCGAGGACTTCCTATTTTCTTTACGAAAGAAATCAATCAAGAGACGGAACAGTCGGCTTGACACGCTTACGAGAGGCGTGAATGGCAGAGCTTCCGAACATATACAAATAGCAAACGCCGTGGACTGTGTTGTGATTTCTCTGTGTTCTATTTTTCTCAAGTGTCTTCTATATATTCGTGAAAATCATTGCACGAAATACTTTGATTGAACATAGGGGTAGCTTTTTTCACATCCCCGGGCCTTCAGATGGACGTCGAGCTTCCAGTGGCCATGTTACCTCTTTCCTGGGGGAAGTGGGCATCACGAAATGGGCAGAGCATTCGCTGAAAGAATTCTCGTGGGTGGGAAAGACGCAGGATTATACATTCCCTCGGGAGAGTGAGGAGCCATGTTCGTGAATGAGTGCCTTCTCGCTGGGGAAAGTCTACTTGTAAACTCATGGAACATCCGGACGGTTCATGTCGTATCTTGAGAGGGGCTCCCGAGTCTTCTGGCCATGATGCTATTTTCTCATATATATCTTTATCACATTTCAATGGGCTACGATAAAGCAAACCAATGGGTACGATCGACTCTAGTAATCTTTTCAGTCGCCATGGCGACCTCTCCGATGCTGCCGGTGGTCGCCTGTCTTTTGCAGTAGTTGGTTGAAGAGATCATGTAGGTGAACGTAGCTCCCGTTTCGTCTCTGTCGGGCTTCATCTCCATTTACCATAAATAGTGGTTTATTCAACCGTACCTATAACCTGAAGGGTCGCACTTCAATGCGTCACCACCTGCCTGTACCACGCCACAGTGAACGGAGTGAACAGCAAGCTTCGCCCGACAACCCCGACGGCGGGCAGAACTCACATGATCGTTTGTGCCGATGCCTGGATGACGCGGGCCATCTCCTTCTGTACTAATCTATACGACTACATCTTTGGGCGTTCATTCAGGCCTCATGCTACGGAATGAAATATGCCGCCGTCCGTCTTCAACGCGTAGCGAAGGACCTTCCCCCAGCCCTAACGAGCTATCAACGAGTGACCCTTCGATCCCAATGAGACCAGGTGCCTGACATGGAGGAAGAAATCAGGGTCGAGAAATTGAAGTGACGGTCGACCAGGCCCCGATCTTCTATAAAGTTGGTTCAAGCCATTTTTGACCGGGTCAACGGAATGCCCGTGTCACTGCCTGTGTCTTCAGAAAGAGATAGCATGGGCTACAACTTGTCTACTCGCAGCTTCTAAATGGTTGGGGACCCTCGCGTGACAATGGTCAAGCTTTGCGACCTCTTCGGTCTCGCTATTCTTTGAGAGGTATTTGGGTGAATTAGGAAGGGACGAAGATGGCAAATAGCTCCTTCCCTACGCGTCCCCTCGCTATTTCGACAAGCGCCAACAGCGAAAGGAAACCAGGCTCAATCATTGTGGAAGCATGCTTCAATTTTAGAGAACACAAACACATGTTGCTATTTGTCGACTGCGGAAAAAATCATGTTGACCTTGTTCAACACATCGAGCTTGACGTCGACACATCTGGGATGGCGATTGGCAGCCACGTACATGCCCGGCCTCGCTTGCCGCCACCTTCAGCTTTGCGAAAAGCCTCGTCGAGGTGGACAACATCACAAAAACAAGCGGGATGAAAGAATTACATAGCAAGAGCGTCTCATTTCCATCTGTCTACCGATTGTTAGGGACCTGTCTGTCCATTCTTCACCTGAATTCTTCTATGCGTGTCCGTCCAGCCCGCTTTCCATAGGCCCAACTCCAAACCGTAGCCGAACCCAAGTCCTAATGTGCACACCCAAGAGTGCATGGGATGCCACGCCTGTGTATACTCCTCAGGCAGGAACCAAAGTCCATCCCCCCAAAAGATCCGTTCCCTCCAAAGACAAGAGAAAAAAAATCGTCAGTCATGGTCTCGTAATTTCATGAGCTTCATATCGCCCTCCATCATTCCGCGCGTCCGAAAAAGCCGAACAGCTGTTGTAGAAGCTGCCTTCCCCTAGAAGATCCGGTTCCTGGACAGATCCAGTTCCTCCAAGTACTCAGTGCCACCCGTCAACTCCAGCGCTTGTCGTTTGATGAGAGTAGGCAAGGGCAAGCTCAGACAGAGAGGTTGCGCTTGCGGGTCATGGCGTTCTTCTGGCGGGGACCGGCAAAGTTCATCTTCTCAGCGGGCAAGAAGGGCTTGTACTTCTTGTCGAAGACGCGGCCACCAGGGGTCCACTCCTCGGGGGCAGTGGCGTGGAGGCGGCCCATGATGGCATTAAGCTTGGTGTTGTTCTCAACGTCAAGGTTGTCAAGGACGTCGAGATCACGGTTACGGTGACGAGTGATGAGGTTGACAAGCATCTCAGGGCCATCAATGAAGATGAAGAGGAGACCACGGACAATGGCGGCGGTGATGTAGCCAACGAGAAGGGCAAAGGGGTGGACGCCCATCCAGACAACACGCTTAGTGAAGGCGTTGACATCAGGGTGCATGCTGGCGAACAAGGCCGTAATAAAGAAGACAGCGAAAAGCCGGACCGGAAGGGGCCAGGCGTAGGTGTAGTCCATCTCGAGGCACTCGTAGGAGCGCTGAGCGAAGGTGAGACCTCTCGTAACGTGACCAACCATCTTGACCTAGAGCTTGTCAGTAAGAGTGATCATTGTGAAGTGGGCAGGGGATCGTACTTTTCGTGAGCGAGGTAGATTTTCCTTGTTCTTAGTGTAACTGGAGAGATAATTCCTTGTCAAAAATTCCTTGTGAGAAGGAATCTGTTCAGGTCAGTGATTTTTCACAAAGAGGTTGCGAGGCGTGCTCTACCAGTTGATGGAGAGATCTGAGTGTCTCCTTTTTTTTTGTCTTGGGAAGGGACGCTGAGAGAATTTCTCGCGTGAGATGGGTTGAGAAGGGTAGAGATTTGTGATGCTAGGGGAACGCGTGTGAGTTGACGGGAGAAGAGAAGTAAGGAGGAGTAAGAATACCTCGCGCAAAGTATGCTGAGGAGGAAGGGTAGGTTGAGTGGAAGGTTGAGCAGGATTAGGGCTGCTCAGGTTGAGGAGAGGAAATTTTGTTGTTGTGTGTGGGAGAAGACGAGGCGGTTGTGAAAAAAAGTTCGAGGGCAGAGAGAAAAAAACAAAGCCGGTCGACGTGTAGAAGGTGTGGGAGGGTGGCCGACTTGAGATGGCAAGACCGGGCAGGCAAGTCTGCCTCCTTCCTGCCACTCGAACAGTAACTGTTACTTTCGATTCACCATGCTCACATGAGCGACCATGAGATGAGTGAGAGGAGAAAACAAGTCTTTGATAGAACAAACTCCCTTCTGGTATCCTTTCCCAGCTCCCAATGACTCCCAACTCCTGAATGCCTTCAAGTTCGCGCACCGCCACCCCTATCATTGATCATCTCTGACCACAGTCATCCAGATATCAGTACCCATACCCATCCTGCTTCTCCCCCTCGCCGACAATCTCCCTCTTCGGCCCACGGTCCTCCATCAGCCTCTCGACACATCTCACACGCACCTCGCCGCCCTCCCGCCCCTCGTTGAGAATCGTCTCCAAAGACTCACACCATGCAATCTTCTGCCCATCGTCCCAGTCAAGCACGCAGAGCTCGACCTCCAATTCCCTCAGCCTGCCCATCCTCCGCAGACCCTCCTCGATCCACTCGGGCCTCGGCTCCGGAAATTTGGAAATGTCCATGGCTTGCGCCTCTGCATTGTTGTTCAGCGAGGCAAACGAAGCGGTGGGCTCGAATATCCCACCTCCGATCAGAATCTTGAGCCGCAGGCCCCGAAGCCCGCCCGCCCAGCACCCGCATAGCTCCACCCACTCCTTGAGCGCCGGGCCCGTGAAGTCCCGCCCCAGCATCTCGAGCCGCGTGTACCGCATCTCGTCCCGCTGCCACCTTTGCAGGCCCCGAGTGAAGGCCCGCGCCGCCCAGAGACCCGAGGAGAACCAGTTGACGAACACAAACTCGTTGTTGCGGAACGGAAGCGTGCGCGTTTCCTCGTAGATCTGGCGGCAGGTGCGGAGGAGCGCGGACGGTAGGCCGCAGAGCGGTCGGTGAGGGGACAGCATCGCCTTGTCCTCTTCGTCGGCGGTGGCGGCCTTTCGGGCTTCCTTCTTCCGGGGATCGTCATCGACGTCGTTCGCGCCATCGGCGGCGGCGGTAGGTCGCTTTACTCCAGGATCCTCAGCTGCGTCCGGCCTGACAAGCTTTAGGAAGTACGAACTGTATGTTGGAGTCGGGTACCACGGGGCCAGCTGCGCGTGCTGGATGGGGTGCATTGCGTGGACCCAGCCGTATATCTGGAGCCGGATCTCGTAGGGGAGGTTCAGCAACGGGGAGTCTCCAGTTGCTGCTGCCGGCGCGGCGGCGCCGTTCGGCTCCTCAGCTGGCATTGCAAGTACTTCCGTCGCTGTTTTCGACATCTTGCCCTTCAATCCGTTCTTCTCGAGCTGCTGATAATATGAAGCAGTGGGCGACGGTCCCCAGCAAGCCATACACTTTCAAACCTCTCGAGCACGTCGTCAAAGGACCTAGAAATCTCAGCAACACCAATTCGAGCGGATGTGCCGCAACACAGAGCAATGAGAACAGTGACACAACTTCGAAATGTGATAAAAGAAACCCAATGGGTAGACAGGGATACAGGTCACACCGTCACAAACACACAAAAGAGATGTCAGATCGCGTGTTTCCCCAACCTGGAAATGGGGAACGAGGGAACAGCCTCGAATATATCTGTCTGCACCGTACCCCATGTCTATCATCTCCTTCGTCTCACTTGCATCCGCCCCAAGCTCGAGACAAGACGGAAGAAAAAGCAAGCAGACCTACCGAAGCGGCCCCAGATGGCTGGGTCCGGGTCTCCAAACAGGAATCCTCCGCCCGTAAGAAAAGCAGCCCGTTTCAATGGTCTCACCTTCCGCCGTAAGCCACGACGCCGTCAATTGGTTCCAGCAAAGGAAGATATGCGTAAACGGGCTGACCGAACCCAGGACCGGGGGACGGCGGTTGGTCGTCAGCATGCGGGCCGGGAAGGTTTCTGGAGATTGGCAAAGACCCCTACCCCAAAACAGGCATCGAAGCATAAGCTGACCGCTGCGTTGGCCCTCAGATTCGACGTCCGCTACGAGGCGCCCGACTTTGTGTGTTGAACGTCTGGTTCGACTGGTCTGATCTTGGCGGGAAGGAGGGGGAGGATGGTGTTTGACAGGCGTCAGCCCTACCAACGCGCGTTGCTTTCTCTAGCATAAGATGCCAACGCCGGCCACAAAGGGGGGACGTCGTCTAATTGGCAGTGAGGGGTAAGTAGGAAGACCGACGGCGCCCGTAAGCTGCAAGCACATGGAAACAAAGCAATAATCGAATAGCAGCGGGGGTTGGTTCGTTGGTCCTGAACGAGCTACTTGTTTTGGCTCGCCCAGCTCCTGTTCGGATGGGTCCAACTACGTTGCCCCCCGTGTAAAACACCCCTGTCCATTTGAATAGGATCTTTGGTTCGAGGAGGATCAGAGGTTCATGGCCCAACAGCTTCCTGTAGGACGACCAACATGGAGAGTAGTTGGAGAACGCAGAAATGGGAACTTAGTCGGTCCCCACTTCCAAGGGATGGACCCGGTCCCAGCTCACAGCCGGCTTTCCCTCCTTCCGGATCGGCGCTTACCTACCGACATCCGACCTTGAGAACGACAACTTCCCTCAATGCACCGCTTCCCGAGGACTCCCCCATTAGAGAAAGAAAGACATTGTCTTGGAAGATCGGAAAGCCGTCAGACAGGCACACGATTTAATCAAGGTGCAGCATTCCGTAACCTACCGTCTTCAGTGGACGATCCCATGCAGCGGGCGGCCGGCGGCGTATCAGCTGCCCGCCTCGCGGCAATCTAGGTCCAGACATGTGAGGAAATGAACAAGACAAACAGACTCAAGCCCATCGCTACCGCCTTTGCGCCTCCCCTTCTCACCTCTTCTCCCAACCTCCTCCCACATGGATTCTTTGACGTTTAAGCTTTCTTCGAAAGATGGAAGAAATCCCCCCCTCATCTTGGCCAACGTCTCCGCACCAATTAGGGCGGCTGCTACGGGAACGCTTTAACTCTCCTTTTCATCTGATCATGCGGGAGGAGCGCGCCGTCAAATAACGGTTCCCGCGGTCACACGCGTGGGAGCCGGCGCGGTCCTCCGATGCCATGATGTTGGGAGGTCTCCGCTTGTGATAGGAGGCCAACGAAGCCCGCTGCTTGGAAGTCAAACTAACGATATTGCGCAAGGCACATCACTCATGGCCGAAGTGGCGTCTTCACAGTATCATGGAGCGGACACAATGATGCATTCAATCCATGCCTCGTGGGCAATCTTAACATTAACTATACCCCCCAAGCACTGTCTTTAACCAGCTCAACACCGCCAACAAGTGATCCCGTCCCGTCCACCCCCGCTCGCCCTGAAAATACATGGCCAGGGTGCAGGAAAGCCCAGGATTGTTCCGTCTGTCTTCGTTCATTCGCATGACTTGACACAAAAAAAGCGGCGTCTTCAGGTCCTTCTCTCATGCAAAGCGTACACTGAACTTAACCCCCTGAGCAGATTAAACGCCTCAAGGCAGTAGTAACCAAACCGCAAGGAGCCGTCTATAACCCATGCTTCGGAGCCAAAACCTCCTCTCATGCGCCGAGAGGATGTCAAATATATATAAAGAAAAAAGGATACGGAAGAAGCGAAAAAGCGACCCCTTTTGTTTCCTCAACATCCCAAAACTGCAAACCCAAAATGCAAGCAAAGCCGCCCTGAGGACAGCAGGGGTATCAAAGCTTTCTCTCGCGAAAAAAAAGCGGAAGGGGGGTTTCGTTTGAAGATTATGCGTATCGTGATAGGTTGTCGGAAGGTCAACATTGTTGCCTACCATCATTAAAAGTCGGAGCGTTGGTTTTCCAGAGATAGGCCGATAACTTAAGAGAAGTCGTCGCCTCCGTTCATAACCAGTTGGTCAACGCGCTGGACCAGCTCCTTGGTCTCCCTGGCGATCTCGAAGGCGATGGGAGGCAGGGTCTGCGTCCACATGCGCCACTCGCGATCGTTACGTCCGGTCGCACCAACGTCCTGACCGCGGTCGATGTCCAGGCCCCGTTCGCTGGCCTCAAGAAGTCTCTCGCGGCAGGCGGCCAGGCGAGCGATCATGGCGCCGTTGCCAGAAGCCTCCGTCTCAGAAATAACCTTTCCGACGACTTCGGTGATGCCGTTGATCTCGGACGTAATTTGGTTGATAGAGGCATCGCTTCGGATGGAGCCGACGAGGTTCTGGATGTTCTGAACCAGGATAGCGGTCTGATCGTCGAGGTAGACCTTGAGCTCCTCTGCCTGGTTATCTTGGCGCATGCCGTACCCGTTGGTGGGGCCGTTCTTGTAGCCCATACCATTCATTCCATTCATACCGTTCATGCCGTTAGGTCCTCGGTTGTAGGTGTCGGCGGATTGACGGGGGGAGTTGATGGGGCTGTAGGCTGAGGAGTCCATGCTGGCTCTGCCACCAAGACCCTGGAAGGGTGGGGGTGCCTGTCCCAATGGCAAAGGCGCAGGAACTGAATCCTGGATCATTGATTCTTGTCTGGAGGCAGTCCTCGGGGAGAAGAATCCAGTGGAGTCCACAGGCGTAATAGTGCCATCATCGTCGTCCTCGAGCTCACCATCGGGAGTATTGCGAATCTTGACAGCTCGGAGGAGGTCGACGATGGAGGCAACTAGGTGAGAAGCGGCGGCGTCGAGCAATGATACGGGCGAAATGCCACCCGAAGCAGCAAAGTTCTTGGACGAGGTGATAAGGTTGTTGGCAGAGGAGGAAATCTTGCCCTTGAGCTTCGATCGCTGCTGCATGAGGTCCTCGTTGGTTTGCGCTGCTTCGTCGATGTCCTTAGTAATCCGGCGAACGCTGACAACGACCTGCTTCATAGAGTCAACGACCTTGTCGGGGTCGTCTGATCGAGCTCTCTGCAGAAGCTCGTCAATGGCAATCTGGAACTTGGTAACGTGAACGTCCTTGACTGCTCCGTTCTGCTGCAGGAATCCCTTCTCGCGCACGTATTTGGCAGCATCCTGCTCAACATTCAACCCGAGTGAAGCAGCGCGCATGTCGCGAAGTTGCGTCTTGGTGCGAGCGTATCGGTTCCGCCACTCGCGAACTTCGCCTTCGAGCTGGTCGATAGTCTTCTCCAACTCTTCTTGCTTTTGCCAGGAAGATCCACTTTGTTGCGATAGCATCTTCATCTCGCGCAAAAACTCACGAGCCTCGCGACGAGCCTCCTCCGTAACCTGTTGCTGCTCTTGCAAGGACCTGCGCAGCTGCTCGTTTTCCCGCTGCAGTTCCCGGTCGGCGTTTCCGGAGCTGACGTTCGCAGCGGCGGTCATGTTGGATTGCCGCAGGTCGTCGACCTGCTCTCTGAGCTGTCTTGATTCGTTGGCATGCTCGTCTCTCATGCGGTCCAAGTCTTGTCTTAAGTTGTCGTTCACGTCCTGAGCCTCAGCGAGCTTGTTCTCAAGGCTGAGTCGGAGATCGGCAAACTCCTTCTTTTCCATATTGACAGCCGTCGATCGTGATCTTTCGCCGTCAAGGATGCTGTTCATTTCATCGTCCTTCTTCTTCATGACGTCTTCCATTGCGTCGAGCTTTTCCCGAAGCTCTCGGACCTGAGATTGATATTCGTCTAAAAGCTTCTTGTCGGCCTGTAGGGCTGTTAATGTCTCCACTCGATACGAGGTTAAGTTGGGTAAAGATCACCTCTGATGCTACCGCACTTTGCTCCGTGGCCTGGCTCCTCTTACTCGTGCGGTTTGTTGCCGTGCGCTCCAGACCAAAAGTCTCGTCGCCGTCCTCGTTCGGGCTCGCATCGTCATCTTCTTCCACCATTGTACTCTTGTTCGGCACAATCGTGTTGCTCTGAAACTGCTTCTGCATCGGCCGGTTATACTCGCCTCCCGGAGGCAAGCCCGGCGATGGAGGCACACCATAAGGATCGCCCCGGGGCGGTCCTCCTCGCATTGAGCTGGCATCGGAGGGCCGTCTCGTCCGACTCTGACTCCTACTTTGGCTTCTCGGCGGGTAACCACCATTCACGGTCGCTTGCGAACGGACCGATACGGGGCTACCCACTCTGGGCATATCTCCAGCAGCAAAGCGGGGAAACCTCCTCTCTAGTTCGCAGTAGACGTCGGTCGCGAGATCGCGAAATCGGGGAGGGCCGAGGGAAGACAGCTTTTGTCTCGCCTGGTTACGTTTCGGGTGGAAGTTGGATTCGGGCATCAGGTAAGGGGGAGGGGGTTGAGACCCAGGGCCCGAGGGCCTTCGGCCGAGAGATTGTCTCCGCATCAGCTCATCGAAAACATCGGTACTGAGTTCGAGAAACTGGACAGATGACAGTCGCAGCAGCTTGTCGCGTGCCTTGTTAGGGGGCGTAGGACGGCCTCCTTGGCCGCCATTCAAAAAGTTCTTCAGGGCAACATAGTGTTCGCCAAGGATGCCCTCGGCTTGTTCTTCGCGGATACTCCTTCCGCTCTCACTTCTGGCGTACATGTTTGTTCCGCTGCTGGAGCGGCCGACAGAGGGCGGCGGTGAGGGCCCGCCAGCGCTTCGCGGGCCAGGAGGGAAACCGCCGTTCATGACGCCGTTTGAGCCTCCGGAATTCGGGGGAGAGACGATGTTGCCACGGTTGTTTGCGTACGGATCTTCGTTGATGGATTGGTACTTGCCAACAGACCATTCACTTCCGCCACCTAGAGAGACAGGTGAGAGAGGCGCATTGCGGCCATTCATGGTAGACCTCGCTGTGTTTTGTATAAGACTCGGTTCGCGTGGGGAGCGAGAGGCAGCAGTCGAAAAAAGGCGGCGCAGGGAACAAAGGGAGTGTCGAGGTAGAAGGCCGGGGGCTCTTTGAAGTCGATCGGGGGTCGCACAGAGACGTTTCTTCTTCCTCTTGCAGCACTATTACCCGGCGGAATCCAAATCCAATCAGGCACAGGCTCGTACCCAAAACCAGTTGCCAAACCCAAAAGCCAGCTGCCAACCTAAATAGTACGTATGTCGCAGAACCTTTTTCCTTTTTTTCTTGCCGCGTCGGATCAGGGTTGTGTCTAAGTCGTCGATGTGGCGGTGGAATGTGTCGATTATGTCGATGTCTCTGCTTCTTCGTCGTACAGCTAGAAGGGGTGGATAAGAGGCGTCGGCGGAATCGAGAACGGAAGACGGAAAGGGTTCTTTCAGAGACACCAGCGGTTGCGACACGGCATGACAGGGCGGGAGAAGGGCGTGTCGGTGTCGAAAGGGAATATTTTTGGGGGGATGCAGAGAAAAAGCAAATGCCGCAGAAGAAGAAGAAGCGTGGGACGAGATGCTGCAGTAGAAGAGGCTAGTGCTGCACACAGTATGCAATTGACGTGTTGGTATCCAGTAGGTTGTTGGAAGCAAGCAGACGACGACGTAGTACGGGCCGTAGAAAAAAAAAACAGAGTCCAAAGCAACCTTGCAAAAGCCCCAAAAAGCCAAGCTGCAAAGAAGAGACGACGGAGGAGCAAAGTATGTAGGCAGTAGGAAGACAACAGCAGAATCCGCGACGAGGTTGTGAGGCATGAAACGTCAAGGTGGCTGGCCGGGATACCACGACCAATGGCGGCAGCGAGATGGCGGCGGCTGGGGGTCCAAAAAGGGGGGTTAGGACTCGTTAGGATGAGCGAGTCCAGTGGGTTGTGGGAGATCTGGGCCGCTAAGAGTGCTGCGCAAGAGGGCCTCCCGTCGCTTGGTGGTGTGGTTTGTGCGCTGTAAGTCAGGCACGCTGCGCACTGGCTCTGGACCTGGACAGTGACGGAGGAGGTGACGATGAATGAAGTGATGGTGGTGGACTGCTCTGGACTGCCAGTGGACGGCTGCGCGGCGTAGCGGATCACTGGTGCTGGAGCGATGGATGGCCGGGGGTGCGAGGGCAAGACAAGGGGAAGGGGGGAAGGGGGGCACGATAGTGGAAGGGGGGGAAGGGGAAGGTGCGGTGCAAGTGTGGAAGGGGGTGGAGGAGGGGAAATGACACTGGAGACACTGGCCGTTGTAGTGGCTTGTACCGTTAGACCACCGGGACAGGCGGCGACTGCTAGAGAATGTTGCGAACGGTACTTGCAAATTACCATTGGCAGCAGTGCCCCACTTCGATTCCACGCTGATCGTCTGCTTTGGGAGCGCTCCGGGGATGATTTGGGGAGGGAACTGACCAAATGCCCATGTTATTAAGGGCCTTGATCATAGCGATTGCCTCTGTCACTGCCACGCTCTTCCACTTTTTGATGCTACGACGACGCGCTGCCCGACATGTTGACCTTCGCTGGTTGACGACGACGTCGACGAAGACTCGGATCGGACCTATGTATTTCGAGATCCGGAGTCAGACGGTGCGAGACGAGGCTGTTTCTTGTTCACCTCTTGGGCTTCTACCGACGAAGTTGAAGCAGGCTTGAGCTTCACCATCAGCCCAAAGTCTGAGGGTGGCCTTGACGTGTGAACAAGGCGAGAATGGCATCTGCCGTTACATGGCGCCCGGCTCTCGCAAAGGCAGAGATCGGGCAAAACAAGCTAAGGCGAGTGGGGACCGGGACAGAGAAGCCTATCGCGACTTTGGACTTGGACATACTTGGTGTAAGTTCCCAGAGACAACACAAGACACACGACGCGACGTGGAGAGACAAGACCATGGCCCCTGGCACGCTGAAAAGAAGGAATTCGCGCGGGAAGGATGCCATTCCGGATTCTCATCTCCCGCCACTGCCTGCTTTCCAAAGTTGGCGGTATTGAATTGGGAGTGGGGTTCTCTGCAACTCTGCGCGGGCATTCGGAAATCGCGAATGATTCGCGGGTTCGTCTACTACTACGACGCAGTGCCTAATTACTGCGATGGATGGCAGTTGCAATGCATCCGGTCAGGAACGATGCACAGCGGCAAGGAATTAGCGCCAGAGTTTGTTCCTGCCTCTGACCTTACAGAACTACGGATACACGGTACCTGCGTTCTGACTCTTGACGCCTGCCAGTCAAGTTCCTTCGTTGATTCATTCGCTGCAGTCTCTCAGCTGAGAAGCAGCCCAAGTCACCTCATCCGTGTCTCACATCGACCACCTCCTCCTTTACCCGCACGTTCGTCATGTCTTTTCTTCACCAGCACCCAAGGCAGTTCCCATCGTTCATCCATCCGTCTGTCCGCCCACACACACACACACGCACCACACCCGCTGGGCTGAGGTACGGTACACGCATCAGTGCATCACAGATTCATGCCGCCGTGCATAGCATCCATCCATCCATCTCCCCTTTCCCATCCGCACCTCCAAGGGGTCCCCCGACGACTGACTGCACTATTCCCCTTCCTCTCTTTCAAATCTTCCTATCCATCCTCCCGATCCCCAGGCCATGTCGCGCCGGCCGCTGCCAGACTCCCACCCCTGATGCAATAACCACCCTGGCCGTGATGGCGCGGCCTTTCCAAAACCCATTGGTCCATCTTGCTGGCGCGCGCTAGCAACAAAATTCGATTGTGGATTTTTGCCAACCCGTCCACCGCGGCCTTCACACGCTGCCCGGGGCCGGGGCCCAGCCTGTCACTCGACGGTGGCGGTGTCTGTGGGAGATGGAGATTCGGAAGACAAGGGCAAGGATAAGGGGGCACTGGCCATGGGCATATCCGGACGTGCCTGACCTTAACCTGCTGTTCAGTTGCATCGAACAAGGATGCCTTTTAAGCATGGTGGAGATGCGATTCTCAAAGCGTCCCTGCGCAAGGGGGCCGGAACTCTGGCAATCCAGTCCAGGTCGCACCGAGACGTTGGCACTGCCTTTGCTTTGCTTTGCGTCTGCAGCCTTCAAGTTCCAGTCTTGACAGCCTGTCACTGTCATTACTGCTTGTCGTCCGTCTTGCCTTGCCCGCCCTATGCGAGCGGACGGCCCTGACAGCCCCGTACTCTTGGCTCTGCTGATTCCACTGACTTTGGACCAGATACCCATCGCCGAGAGCACTGCAGACAGATATGACACTGGCCTAGAGGCCGCGAGAACCCATGGCAAGGAAGACGGAGAAATACACCAAAATCTTATCGACAATCTCTGGTTGTAAATATCCTTCCCAGAAGAAGTCTCCTATACAGCCGTGCCGTCCGTCAGCCACGGTCGTCAGCAAGATACCCACGGCCTGCTCTGTCCAGACAACCGATGCGCAACCCTCGTCAACTGCCAATGCCCCATGCACCGTTTTATTGCACCTAAAATTGCTCCTCATCTGGCTCGCCCTGCTCTTGCTGCATCCGTCGTCCACGGCCTCTCTCACCAGAGTCTCGACTCTTTTAGCCCTCTTGGGCCACCGAGCGGGATCCATTCCTCAAAATCCAGATCCCCAAATCTGACAAGCCGTCTGGAAGGCCTCCGCCGAGCTCGCCTCGGGGACTCGACATCGCCGCCGCGATCATTCTGCCGTCAGTGCTTTCTTTTTCGTGTGCTCAGGAAAGGCGCTGGCCAACTGTCTTCGGATTTTCAAGCAAACCCCTGATTCGGGTGTCACTGGGTCTCTGCTACCGGGCCAATCACCCTCGATCCCGAACCGAATGCCCTGGGCAGAGGAGACCCGGCCACGAGGTGAGGCTCCCAGGCGACATGTGACATGGCAAGGTACATCCAAACCGCATGAACCCCTCCCCGTCGTCCAACGCGCCCGCCCTGAGACGGGAATGAAGCTTGGCCACGCCCAGCGAACATTCGATGGAAGCTGGCGAAGGAAGGGTGGCCTCGAAGCTACACGAGGGATCGCGGATACGATCATACGCGGGCCTGCGCCCATCATGGAAAATCCCCACCACTTCAAAACTCACAGGGACACTCCGGTTCATCCGCCTGCAATTTGCTTCTGCCGTTCGGCCCCGTGCCAGTCTTGATCAATTGCCCGACATATCGCGACTAACCACACGACCAGCAAATGGTTTACACGAGTTTGGCTCACCGGCGAGGCTTAGCAACAATATTCCCGCAAGTGCATGCAAATAAAATGACTATCAAAGATCAGAATACTAACAACACCAGTGACCAATGTTCCACATCATCGAAGCCGTCTTAGCCGCTATCAAACCTCCCGTTCCGCGTCATGTTTTCTCTGCGGCTCTAGGACAAGCGTCAAGTCTATCGATTTATGAACAAAGTCCGAGCAAGACCACAGGCAAGAGGCATGCGAACTCAAAAGACGGAAAAGATCCCAGAGCTGTCGGTTCTTCCTCTTCCTCTCCCCCACATCCACCTGAGCCAAAAGACCGGCTTAATTTCACTTCGAAGGCTGTGTAGTCTCTACAAATTTACCGTGGAAAATTGCACCGTGAGCTCTTTTGCGGTTCTCAGGAAACCCCGGGAAAAGGTCCGACCGCCGACTTTTGTGCGTGAAACTTGCCTCGACTGAGGCTAGCTCGAAACGCGGCTGCGATAGCTTAAAAAGGGTGCGCGCGAGAATCAACGGCAGCGGCATGCGACGTTGGGAAACACGTTTATCGACGAGAACGAGCAACGTAGTTTGATCTGAGGCTTGGTAAGCCAAGGTTGCATCCGCGCAGGCGTAGGGACGTTCATTTTTTTATGGAGTGATATTATGATTAAACCATCCTACGTAGTTTACGTACGTTTGCGTTCGTTGTGTGAAAACTCTCTTGATGCGAGAGCGGTTCCTCCTGGCCCATGAGTCGCGCGCGCAGGTTCTCGTCTCGAAATTGTGGACGACGGCCGCATCCTCTCACGGCTTTCCATCTTCT